AAAATGCGAGGGAATTCCTGGAAGCTTCTTATTGAGACAAGGCAGCCATCAACAGGCACATAGAGATAAACAACATCTACACACTATTCCAAAGAGACAATAGAGAGGAAAACAAAAGACTAGAACATCCCCTCACCAGCAATCATCACCCAGATAAGCAGAGATTAACACCAAGATTATCACCAGACATACAATCAGGCAGTAAACAATACCCTAATCAAGGAACTACCAGAGGGAAAAAATAAAACAAAACCCCCCCCAACACCGGCAGGGCATGCCACAGTATATAAACAGAGAGCAAACCCCATTCCATTCTACTACTGAAGATGTTACCTAGCTGGGTAACAAAATGTTTGCAAGAAAACAACCAAGCTCAGAGAACCCCAAGGACTCCACAAAATAAGAATTGCCATTTCTTCTGAAATGACTGCATTCCCAATTGCATTTTATACTCTGGTTCCTCTCTCAGACTAAAGTGTGTGTGTGTGTTTTTTTTTTTTTATAAAGAACAGGAATGGGACTAGACAGTATTATCATGGTATCTCAATCCTTTTTTATGAGGAAACAGGTGTCTGTTGGAGGGGTATTTCTAATTATATTTGTTGGGATGGTGGTTAAAAGGACATCTTTTGAGATGTTATAATTGAAGATTTTATCATTTTAAGGAAGATCTAAGCCTTACAGTTGCTTTTGGACTTCAGAAAAGGAAAACAAAAGAAAATTGAAGTGAAGAAGAAATCCTATCCTCAAGGGAACTGAAAGTGATTTCTATTTTAAGTCCTTTGATTTGTACTCATATGTAAATCTAATGAGCTTTCCCTCCCAAATGAAACTGCACATCTTAATACAAATATATTGCAATCACATGCTTCTGTTTAGAAAAATATTTTTAGCCTTATCATACTACCTGGTAGGAAATTAAACTCTCCCACTGTTGTTGATGAGGGGCTGTCTTGTACATCCATGTGAGCATGGAGTCCTTAACGAAGATGGACACAGCACGTAGGATAAACGAGATAAAAAGGTTCAAGTGAATGTAGTTCCTGGTACAATGCAGATGCCTGTAAATATAATTATGATGCTTAATTCACTTGAAAATGTGTAGACGGTAATGGCTGTCAAGGGAGCTCTGTTCAAAACTGAAGTGTGTACATGAGCCAGTTACACTTTACATTTAAACACAGCTGTGTGGGTTGCTCTCATTTCTGAAAGGGAAGGCAAACTGCTAATACTAAAAAACATGCAGAACTGAGATATTATTGGGGGACCGTTTTTCTATAGTGGTCAGAGTAAAGGGTTTAAAAAACAGAGTCTTTAGATTGAGTTCTAAATCCCTTGGGTAAAGATTTAAAAATCTACTGCATAAAACATGTTTAACTGTGCACTGCACATTTCTGCAGGAGGTTGTGGCAGAAGCATCAATTTCCATCAAGAGAAATCATGCTATTTACCAGCAATTGTTTAAAGTGCAAGAGAGGGCTATTACTGATATAGCACTTAAGAAAGAATTGCATGAATAAGTGGTGCATGATTTCACTTCAGGGATCACAATAAGCAACAATGAAAATTCATTCTGAGAATCAAGCTAGGAGAACAGAAACCTTAACATGTCAACAAGAAAAACTTAATTCAGTGACTTAACCTATCATCACTTTATGATGATAAATAAAGCAATACTTTATTTCAGAACCTGAAAGACTTCCTCTCCTTATCTTTACCAACTTATAACAAACCATATCTAAAAGCAGGTATGTAGCAGAACAAAATTCTAATTAAAAAATGTTCTTTTGTCTCTACATCTAGCAAAAAATGTTCTGCCAATTTATAAAACAGAATATCCACAGCATTTTTTTAGCTGTGTCCAGTTTAAAAGGAATGTCTAGGTTTATTGGTATTTTTGTACTGCAGCTTTTTCCCTTTCCCACAGATCCATCTAAGACAAACTTCTTCTTCTTCACTTCTTATTATATACTTCTCTTAATCCCATACTTTGAAAATCTCCCAACTATCAGCTGAGGCTTAATTTTTATGCCACTTCTAGCTATTCATCCTATTACATTTAATTTTTGAAGTTCAGTATCAGGTATCAGATGTTGTTCATATGCTAGGATTCACAGCTCTTTTTAACAATGTGGGTTACCTGAATCCAAGGAGGATGCCAGTTGCTATTACAAGGGCTGAGAAAGAAAGAGCATATCCAGTGGTGTAGATGACAGAAAGGAATAACAACTGTCTTCCTGGGGAGTCCTGAAAGGGATAACATAGAAAGAGCTGAAATAAAATTATTGGACTCTTCCTGTTTTATTTATGTCATAGTTTATTTCAATGGAGCAGACAGATATGCAAAGCCAATAATTTTACACTGAAACACAGACAAAGCTGACCAAACATATCAACCACACAATATTCAAATCAACGCATTCTCTCTTAATCAAGCTGATTTCAACTGAAGAATGAGAAACTTAATGAGTTTGAACTAGGATCTTAGATTTAGCTTTAGGTTCCTTGAGATGAGCTTATGGTTCAGAAAAGAAAAACCGAAAGCCATATGCCAATAGCAAATCTTCTTTTTGATTTTAAGCAGCTCCGACTGCATAATTTTTAGATAGTGACCATTCATTTGAGTTCAACATTTGCAGCTAGGTTTATTCTAAAAGATTACTTTTGTAAAGCAAAATGTGACTTCAACTCCAACGAAATCTAAAGGCATAATCTTCATTCTAGTGTTATATATAGCTCTACAATATACAGTGAGAATATTGCTTAACATGAAAAATAAAGTATTTACATTGCAGAACACAACATGGCATTCAGGGCTTCTAAATCACTATCCCCAAAGGACTTCATTTTATGGAAATGAAACAGGTGCTAAAAGATCAAGCACTGTCATTAAGCATCTGTCTTCTTGGCAGCTTCCTAAACAATGGTGAAATAATCTCACAGACAGCTAATAGAAACAACAACAACAACAATGCTCCTGCATTTGTATTAAGCAATTCAGTTTCTCTGAACATACAGGTAGTCCTTGACTTACAACCACAACTGGGACTAGAACCTCCATTGCTAAGCAATGCAGTCATTAAGTGAGTTGTGCCCAATTTTATGTCCTTTTTTGCCACAGTCATTAAGTGAATCACTGTGGTTGTTAAGCAAATCACATGGTTGTTAAGCGAATCCAGCTTCCCCCATTGACTTTGCTTGTTGGAAGCCCCCCAGGAAGGTTGCAAATGGCAATCAGGTGACCCCGGGACACTGCAACTGTCATAAATAATGCTGGTTGCCAAGCACCTGAATTCTGATCTCGTGACGGTCGTAAGTGCAAGAACCAGCCATAAGTCACTTTTTCAGTGCTGTTGTAACTTCAAACAGTCATTAAATGAATGGTTGTAAGTCAAGGACTACCTGTAGTCTACAGCAATGGCATATCCAAAAGAATAGATTGGGAAGCAAGCTTGGGAATTTCCTGCATTTCAATTAATATTAGCTTAAATTTTCAAAATAGCTTCCACCCCCTGTTCTTCATCTGTATTCTTCCAATACCTATTGAATAATCTCACCACAGCAAGTAAGCAGTTGTGTTTAAAAGTTGCTAGAGTTGCTAGAGACATAATTGACATAACTGAGACATAACTGACATAACTGAGAAGATGTTATTGTGCTCCTGTCCAACTTGAAGCTTCTCGCTGACAACATTGGGAACAAATGATAGGACTTTGGTATGATCCAGGTGGCCCTTCATAAGAGTATACCAAGTTCATAGCATACTAGGAAGTGAGTATTTCACCTGAGCCATAAGGTGACTCCTACCACCAGTTCCCAACTATAACATGGGGTAATACAACCCCATCTTACAAATTTGTTTTAAAGATCAGTGAGAAAGTATTTTGTTGCAGATGCTGAAGATATTTTATATGTACTCTAAAAAGCATTTGCTTTTCAATTTCTATATCCCAATTTCAATATCCCAATTTCTACTAGACATTCCACTAAGATAATTTTCATAAAGTTTTAGTATTCTAAATTATTTTTGTTTAATCCAGTCTTCTTCAACCTGTTACTCTCTGGTACACAGGTCTTCAGCTCCCATAATTCTCACTCAACATTATTCTACATCAAGAGAATATTAGATTTCAACTGCTGCTTTAGCACAGAATTTCTGCAGTTTTTGCTTATCAAGGTGCTCACTAACAGTAATTACCCATCTGTATAGCAAGGAATTTCTTTAGTTACTTTAGCCTAGTTAAGGGCAAACAATCAAAAACAGCAGGAAAAGGCAGATGTCTCCCTCCATTTCAATTACTTCCAAAGTATTGATTTATTTTTTTCGACAATTGTTATATCTGCCCACTCAACATGTGATGCAGGATGGCACAGAATTAATAAATAACACACTATAAAATAAAATATCCTAAAATGCAGTAAGACACAAATTTCACCAGATGCAATTCAATTTCCCTTTCTCTTTATCATTATCTTCCTGGAGGATGAAACCAGAAGAAATTATATCATTTTGTCAGTGTATTATCTTCCTCCCTTTTATGATCACACACTCAAATGGTTTCCTTAAAGTTTTTCAACTTCTATCTTCAGTTTCATTGCAGCTATCAGTATTACAAGCCTGACAGACATAACAAACAAGAATATTATGTCACATCTCCTTTTTTCAATCCCACTAGAATTGTGAAACAATCCAAATCATTCTAGAGGAACTAACAGAAGATTACATGCTCTGTTACTGTTAATAGAAAACTTTATTTTAAAACGCTACCACACTATTGGGAGCAGAGTGGAGCACACTGGCAATAAGTTTTGCAAACAAAGTTTTGTATGCTTACTTCATCGGGAGCCATACATGCAGAAATGTTCCTCCATGGATTGGTGGAATTCTCGTCCATTAGCCATGTCCCCTCCAGCGTGCAGAAACGGTAAACTTGTCCTGTCCAAGAAGCATGCAATGAAAAGGCAGGTGATAGAAAAGAACAATGCAACCCAGTATTAGTATCAATCAACTGCAAATATAGTCAAAATCTTAGTCAGGTGTTTCCCATAATACTATTAATACAGCCCTGAAAAAGGAGCATTATACACTATTTCTAACATGTTTTGGGATTCCAAGGCAAATTAGAACCTGAAAGGTGGAACTGAGCTTATGGACTTCCAATTTTTGTGCCAATCGTGGCAAGCAAAGTTTCCCAGTACACCAGAGGTTTGACTCTATATAAATTTAAAATCAATCTATTCCCAGAATCAGACTATTTGTAGTGGAAACAGTTTCTCTACTACCAAATAAAAAATAGTATTTGATTGGCATGTAAGAAGCAGTCAAATAATTTGCAGCCTAGAGTTCTCTGTGGTGTCAACATAGCATTACATTCAACTAACCATATGTCACCAAACTTTGCTGCAGCCTTATTAAATAAGGAAATAATCTCACATATTTAATTATAAAGGTGTAATGTTTAATTTCTAAAAAAGAAAAATGCCAGACAACATGCCACCTGTTCTTGAGTTTTAAGTCAAGTTAGGCTGCTAATAGTACCAAAACTATTATGTAGATGCTCAGAGGAATATCCCATTATTTTTACTCTACATATTCCAACAATCAGGATTTGTACTAAAAATATGATTGATCTGCCTGGAAGGATTTATTAGCAATGCTAATTTTAGCAAACTTCAGATTATCCTTAAGGCAATCTTCCTTAACCTGATGACCTTCAAATTTTCAGAGGATAATATTCTTTTGAACTATATACCTAGTACATGGCACTTGACAACTGGACAATGTAAATGGATTCTCTGTGCCCTTACTATAACCAAAAGACTGATATTGCAGCATTGAAAAGATAAATGTATGGCCCCATTTATTCAATGGGTTGAAGTCCTGATTGCACTTGCCACTTACGAGTCGATTGCCTACAGGTGTAGACTTAGTACAGACAAGTATAATAAATATGGGACTCATTATACAAAATACAATAGGTTAAAAAAAAAACAGTCATATAAATGTATTAGAAATATATATACACTTGAATAATATTTGCATTAGTATATATAGAATTGTAATTGTTTACTGTTATGACATATTAACATGTTTTTTTTCTTTGTTGTATTTCTTTCACTTTTTTATTAAAGCACTTTTTACGTGTCTTCTTCATCATCATCATCATCATCATCAACATCATCATCATCAACTTGATGCCCTTCAAATGTTCTGAGGCAATTATTATTTCAGGCTGCTTTTATTCAAGAGCCTTATTTAAGAGATTAGGGCCAATAGCTGTTCTTATTTGCCTTTTCAAAAAACAAAGAATGGCTTACTGAAATAACATGGTTTTAACATTCTTTTGGTTTACTGCTTTTGCTACATATTATGTTTAACATCAATTTAGTTGAAATGTTGATTTTTATAAATTTCTTAAAAAACAAAGAAATAAACAGACTTTGTATCCAAAGCGAACTTACTAAAACACTTGCTATTGCATGTAACTGTTATATTACAGACACTTACAACTTGCCCTAATGTATTATCTCCAAATCAAGAATACCGTACAATTCCCCACAATTTCATACAGGCTTAAAAGCATGTTGTTTTTTTTCCTTTTCTCTTCTTCATATATTTTATAAAGTTTTTTTTCCCCAACCTTCTAGAAGTTCAACCTTTTTCTCTGAGCCTTCTAGAAGTTCCTATTGTAATTATAGGTATTTTCTTTCCTACCTGATGCCATCCAAATGACCCCCTTCCACATATTGGCTGAAAATTCTATAGTCCGAGAGATGTGGACGACATCAACTTGAGGAAGAATGTGTTATTCACTAATCTGACTTGAATACCTTCCTCCAGGTGGTGTTGATCTCCTTCACTACCGGACATATTAGCCAGGGCTGCTAGGAGATATTGTTCAGCACTATCTGGAGAACAAATTCTCTCTCCCTGATATAGAGGATAAGGAATCTCCCTCATCTGTTCCAGTTAATAGTTATTTATCTCATGTCTGTCCTGCATTTTGCCCATAAATATATGCCAATATATTTGAAATATATGCCAATATACAGTATATGAAATATATGCCAATATATATTTGCCTACAATTATATGCCAGATATATGATTCAGACTGATGATTTACCTTGTTGGATAATGAAACATCTGCAAGCGAACAGTCAAGCTCAGAGAGCACCAAGGACTCCATATATGCCAAGTTCTACATCAGCCCAGTGCTGCTGCTTCAGAAATATAAAATCTAAAACCACAGTAACTCACTTTATGCTATATTACATGTTCTTTCTTCTTCAGTTTTTATCTAAAGAAATTTTGCTTTGTGTAAGAAACCTTTCATTTACAAAGATCTGTTTCTTTGTGTATTAAAAAGGACTTCTTGCTCATAATGGTTTTTTTTTTTTTTTTAACCAGGAAATTCTATCTTCTAGATTAAAGCAACAATTTTTAAAAAAGTAAATTTATGGTCTAAAACATAGGCAGGGCATTCTTAATCCATGGTGAAACTTGACTTTCATATTCAGGGTCCTAATAGCAACAGACCAGGAGGACAGAAGTAAGGCAGCAACTGCATTTGGTAGCCTCCAACAATATTGCTCATATTTAGACTAGTCCAGCCTTTCTATTTTGGCTGGTCTAAACTTTCTCCTGAACTAGGAACATGGGAAAAGGCTGAGACAGCTTGAGATTCAAAGTTCCTCCTACCCTACTCCCAAAGCACTGGATGTTTTCAACAGGAAACATTTCCATACCTATAAAGGCAGAGGCTGGTAGCAAGGCATAAGAATCCCCCCTCTTCCCCACCAAGTAAAGTTTCCATAGAAGAGAACAGAAGTAGCTCAGGCTTGGACTGTGGAGTTCTTGGTGCTCTCTGAGGTTGGTTGTTTGCTTGCAGACTTTTCATTACCCAACAAGCACAAGTCTCACACTGGAGATGTTACCCAGTTGGGTAATGAAACATCGGCAAGCAAACAACCAAGCTCAGAGAGCACCAAGGACTCCACAGTAAAGTTTCCAACTTTGCAGTGGAAATCTAAAAAACTATTCCAGGGACATGGCATTATAGCCTGAAATGGTTTTTAATTATGTACTTCAAAATCTTGTATTATAAACCAACAAAAAAAGGGATAATTTAAATCCTCCCCAGCAGATTCCTTTTACATGGGAGAGGGTTTTCCGGGTAACAAAAGCTGTATTCCATCTATTCTCTCAGCAAGGGGGCAATTTATAATTTGTTTTAGGAGGCAGTACTGGGCCACAGCAAAATAAAGGATTCGTCATGTAATTCCCGCCTTAAGTCCAACTATTGTGGGGTTTGTGTAGCTTTATGAAAATCCTTGTGTTGGTGACATACAAACAACTGTAGGTTAGTGTCCAGTTGCTAAGCTCTTAGTTCTTCTGGGGGATCATATTTTTCCCTTGTATCGTCTAGAACCAGAGAAATCAATAAGCATTTAAAGCCTATACAAAAGGGACCACTATTCTAGAAACGATGCTGTAAAACTACACAATTAGGCTAGGGCTTTGATTTATTTAGCTTTTGATGGAACATGGTTTCACAAAAAAAACTTAGTTTCTTAGAAGTAGTTCCCTTAATAGAGCCTGTTTGCTGGAACTCTATGTCAATTACACCTTATTGGTATTAAATGTTTAAAGGTATGGACTGGTGCCTAGAATTCAAGCAGTCCCTGTATGCGGATATAAGAACGAGGAGGGAGGGCAACTGTTAGAACTGGAGTTAATGTCATCATTTATCTTGTTCTTGGATGAGCTTGTAAATCAAATCAAATGCTACAGCTGGCTAAAGGCTTTTGTATATAGGAAAATATGTTATCACATGCCAGGAGGGTCACAAATATTTCATTAGCTAGCTCTCTTATGCTGAAGAAAAAAAAATTAAATGGTTTCCCTGCTAAAATAGCCAACCTGATTGGTATTTTAGTACAGCTGCATAACAGGAATGGCGGGAGATTAGTCACCCAATTGTCCTTTGGAATAAACTGCCACATAATTTATCTTTGAAACAAATTACAGCAACTCCTAGGCTATCACAATTTATCCAGACAGGGAAAGACAAACTGAGAAAGAGGAAGCAGAAAGTAGAGTTTTCCCTCAGTGCACCGTGTGTGCATTTTGAGCATTGAAAGCTGTCCCAAATTTAATAACTCTTCTTAATTGTCGACAGGGGAAATGTTCTGGAAAAGGAAACAATTTTCTTCCAGAAGGCAGTTGTGAATCTCAAGTTTACGAGTAAAGGCTGAATTACTTGCTGTGGTAAATTGACTTGATGCTCCTTGACAGAATGGTTTCCCCTCTGATGACAAAAATATATATCATAATGGAGATTTTCTTTTTTAAAGAGTATTGCTTGATCCACACAAACCTAATTTATTAATTGCATAGGCAATACACTGGCTTCCAGTAGACTTTGTTCTATAGCCTGGGCAAGCTCTATTTATAAAACTTCTAGACTTACATTCTATTGATGTAATGGTAAGTTAGCGTGCACCTAACTTTATGCTACTTTTTATTCTCACACCCTGCTTTCTTTGTAAATATAGTGATGGCAGAACAATTGTGGTCACTGAAAAGTTTAAAAATAATATTTAAAAGAAGCTGGAATATGGCGATGCCCTCTTGAAGTACATGAAAGAAGCCAGCAGATGGTTGGAGTTCAATCTCCTAGAACTCCCAGTCAGCCTATTTAAGACATGAGGTTAGAAAAAGCTGGAAGTCAGTTCTGTATGTAAAGTGTAAACATAGTTGTATTTTCAAATATATTTTCTCAGCCATTACAGAAGATCTAATACTGCAAGATGTAAGACCATAGTTTAATAACAGAGGCAGTTTTACATGTGGACAGTCCATGTTCAGTCCCCGGCATCCCCAAACAGGACGATCAAATCTCTGGAGAGTTACTGACAGTCAGAGTTAGCAGTA